CCCGGACATGTCCTGATCCAGTCAGTCCTACATTTGGCGGCTTCTCTGTTCAAAAGGGAATACGGCGTGCCAGTCTGACACCCTACCTGTACAACGACACTGTCACATGGACATGTGATATCGGCTATTCTACTACTCAACCTACTACTGCTGTGTGTCAGGCTAATCAAACATGGAGTAACAACCGCCCAGGCTGCCAAAGTATGTGTTTTTTTGTTTTTGTGTTTTTACCAGAAAGCCACAAATCATCATTGTGCAAACACCGGAAAAAAAGCACAGAGATGCACATAGCGATGGCAGCCGAAGCAGTGGAGGCGGAGCAAGAGCAGATAAACCGACCAAGGGTCTCCGCATCCACACTGCTCATGCGCGCCAAACAGAAAAATACTAAATGAAAACAAAATGAATACTGTAAATATACAAATTTTCGGCAGCTATTTAATTTCGGCTATATTCGGCACCGACCCAAAACGCCTAAATTAAAACGCCGATGAAATTTTTCACAGCATCTGTCGCAATACCATGCCCTCTACCCCACGCCGAAAATAAATCGCCGCCGAAATGTCAAAAATCGTGAAGTGCCGAAATTTTGCAGCGCCGAAATTTTGTATATTTACAGTAGGAGCACTACAGAGCAAATGAGAAAATATGGGTGACGGCACAGTCACACATGGTGACGGCACAGAATACATGCATGTGCACACTCACTCTCTCTCTCTCTCTCACACACACACACACACACACACACACACACACACACACACACACACATACGTGCATACCTACACAAGAGTCCTTAGGGATGTAAGGGTGGAGTAATGTACCCTGCTTAAGGTGGCAGACTACCAAAAAGGTCGCTGAAAAATCGAATCTGTAAATTCATATCGAGTGCTACGTCAGTTGAAAGAGCATGAATACCTGCAAATTCTCTGAAAATTGTGTCCCGATCTGACCAGCCGTTCAAGAGTTATGGCCGAAAATGTGCCCTTGCAAGGAAAGATGTTTTTTTCACTCACAAAGCGACTATTCAGTACATGGGGTAGTGGTCTACCAGAGCAATCACACTCTACCAGAGCAATCACACTCACCACCGCGGTGGTTTTCCAGAAATGAGTAGAAGCAAAAAACCACACTCGCAGCCACAGAATAGATAAATAGCCGAAAAACATCTAAATCCATCAAAGAACCGCCAGCAAGCGGGAGAAAAGGCCGTGAAATCAAGTGAAACAGCATGGCCAGTGGTGAGCATGGGTGACTGGGCAGCAGGGGAGCGCCTGAAAAACAATGACTCCCTACATTCCTAGCCGCGACCGCTCAACCGGGCTAGAGGAAAAACACGCCTTTCGGCCAAAAAAACCTTTCTACTTCATTAATTCCTGCCCCGCTGCCAGTCAGACCCAAGAATAGAGATAGCAAGAAATGGTATGTAATAACCGGTGTATGTCATAATCATAAGCCACACACATAGGCATAGATTGTCAAGAAGAACAGCGGACGACTCCCATGAAACCAGGGTGGGTGGGCGGGCAACTTCAACTACCACGAGGAAAAACAAAGACCACGATGGCAGGTTCAACGGAGTTGCGCAGAACAAGAGCAAATGCACGAAAATATTTGTGAGTGAAAAATACGTTTTTTGCACTCTTTCGCTACGCTCAGCCGTGAAAAAACAAAACTTTTCACTCACAAAGCGACTGTTCAGTACATGGGGTAGTGGTCTACCAGAGCAATCACACTCACGATGTAAAGGATAGTGAGGCCGATAGGAGAGCAGCACACATAGATTTGGACAAGGAAAACGAGCAGTGTGGCGCATGGCGCCAGTGTGCCAAAGTCTTGGGCACTGTGACCACCATCTGTGGCCAAGTGTATAGTTACTATGAACATTATGGAGACCCGGCCAGACTTGCCCTGGGATGCTCACTAGTAGGCCAGGTTGGGTCCGGTGGCAACCGGGCGAGCACACATCAGCCAGGATAACATGATCAGCAGTGCACTCCGAGCAGACAATATCTCTGCGAAATGCCCGAAAGTTCCCCTGCTAGGTTGCGAGTGCTACATCATGGAGTAGTACTGCCAGTAAATTCAATGTGAGGTGCTGTACTTCCGTGATTGGGCTGGACGTCCGTTCAGTTCCTGCAAGAAATGAGTAGAAGCAAAAAACCACACTCGCAGCCACAGAATAGATAAATAGCCGAAAAACATCTAAATCCATCAAAGAACCGCCAGCAAGCGGGAGAAAAGGCCGTGAAATCAAGTGAAACAGCATGGCCAGTGGTGAGCATGGGTGACTGGGCAGCAGGGGAGCGCCTGAAAAACAATGACTCCCTACATTCCTAGCCGCGACCGCTCAACCGGGCTAGAGGAAAAACACGCCTTTCGGCCAAAAAACCTTTCTATTTTCATTAATTCCTGCCCCGCTGCCAGTCAGACCCAAGAATAGAGATAGCAAGAAATGGTATGTAATAACCGGTGTATGTCATAATCATAAGCCACGCACATAGGCATAGATTGTCAAGAAGAACAGCGGACGACTCCCATGAAACCAGGGTGGGTGGGCGGGCAACTTCAACTACCACGAGGAAAAACAAAGACCACGATGGCAGGTTCAACGGAGTTGCGCAGAACAAGAGCAAATGCACGAAAATATTTGTGAGTGAAAAATACGTTTTTTGCACTCTTTCGCTACGCTCAGCCGTGAAAAAACAAAACTTGTTGCATGCTGTCATTTGTTGGCAGCACTGTATTTGAATGTGAGCAGACCGTGCGCAACTTGTCGTATCATGGAAACACGCGAAAGTGTGCAGAATTTTGCTCCAAGTCCAAAGAAGTCCAAAAATCACGTTAAAAACCACGTATTGGGCTGCACGACTTTTGCCAGCACCCTCGTGACGTTGCAGATATGTGGCTTGATTATTGTAGTTGACGTTGATTTAGTGACTTTGGCAAGTTTGAGTCATGTCAAGAAGTCAGGTAGGATTCAGTACTAGGCAGTAGTGGAACGTGGTAGTCTTTGCCGGTTTCTGAGGGTATCCTGGATTTAGTGTGCAGCGCTGTGGAAATGGCTGGTAGTCTTTGCCGGTTTCTGAGGGTATCCTGGATTTAGTGTGCAGCGCTGTGGAAATGGCTGGTAGTCTTTGCCGGTTTCTGAGGGTATCCTGGATTTGGTGTGCAGCGCTGTGGAAATGGCTTGCTGTGGAGGTCCCAGCACTGGATGTTGTATCAAAGGTACGACCTCGTAGCACGCGCTAAACCAAAAAAATTCAAAAATTGACTTGGGTCTGTGGGAGTCTGTGAGAGAACGCCCACTCGTTCCGTTGTGACAGATTGCAGGGCCACGTTGAGGGGCCCTACCCCACCACCCATGGCTGCTTCTGGACTTGTTTTAGGTTTGGGTCCCGCGCACGGACAGAATGGGCACGAAAATGTGAAAAAATTGTAAATGCATTTGTTTGGCTCCTGGGTGGCTCGCACACCGTGGCACTATGCCGGAAATTTGAGTTTTTCCGGCCTGGAAAGCCTGTCAGTGAGGCGCAAGAACTTGTAAATCATGTCCTGAGGGCCAGCATAGTGGCAGGAGTGTGTGGTCAAATTTTCACTCAAATCCATTGAGAAACACCAAAGTCACGGTCAATTGAATGCCATATGAAATTTATGGGTAGGCTGCCCCCATAATAAAACCCGGCTAGCCATGACTAGGTGATCCGGAACTGTTGCACAAAGACACATACACACACACACACACACACACACACACACACACACACACCTCAGACCTCAGACCTGCCCATCGCGGAAGCGATGATAGCGAACAGCTATGTTAGACATAGCAACTTGTGCTGGGATTACACCATTCAACAGCTTGCACACACACACACACACACACACACACACACACACACACACACACACACACACACACACACACACACACACACACACACACACACACACACACACACACATGCACCTGCACACACATTCGTGCACACACATGCACACACGCGTGCACAAACACACACACACACACTCACATGCACACACACACACACATACACACACACACACACACTCACATACACACACACACATACCTGTCCTGTCCTGTCCTGTAGAGTCACTGCCGCAAAAGGGTCACGTGATCCCATCACTGGGAAACTTGAGAAGAGAGAGAGAGAGGACACGACGCTCGATGACGCTCCAGGTGCACGGGTAGTCGCATCCGCTTGCCGCATATGCACACGTGCTGGAAGGCTGAGCGCTCCTCTGCTGTTGGTCTATGCACCACCCTTGAACAGCGATGCCTTCCCCGTCCCCGGACACCGCGAAAGCAGCGACCACACCTGTCACAATGCGCGGCACAACATCCCTCCGCCGGTGCCGACGTTCCGGTAGTTCCAGGTGGCACTGCGGCATCCACCGTTGAGGCACACACATGCCGGACCAAGCCACCGCGGCTTCTCAGCCACCGCCCACACCGCCCGCACTGACTGGCGCCCCGCTGCTCAGACACAGGCCGCGCACGCTCCTCCAGACACTTATGCCGAGCCATGTCTCCTTTCCGTGCAAAATCCCGTCCGCATACCGTACATACCACTCGGGGCGGAGGCTCAGGCACATTGTCAGGCTCTTGGTAGGTGCTGCGCCACTCCGCGCGAGACTCACATGCAACATCATACCATGATGCCTCCACGCCACGGGCACGTAGATCCCGGACAGCACAGTCCTTCCATCTGCGGCGTGGGCCATGTGCTGGGCGACGCTGCAAGAAGGAGCCAAACAGTACCTGTTTTGGGATGCGGTTGTCCGGCATCCGCGCCACATGCCCCAACCACTCCAACCGCCGATGTGCAATTTTGTCTTTAATCGTCTCGGAGTCTCCCCAGCGCACCATCAGCTCTTCGTTGGTGATGTGTTCGTCCCACATCCGGCTTCGAGAGAGACACACACATACACACACACACACATATGCACACACTTACTTTAACACACAATAAACATCGCACACACACACATAAACACCCACCCACACACGCTCACATATGTTATAGATTATAGTCCTGTTTTGTTCATCACAATTTTTTAACACTGATATGGGGTTATTCTACAACATGTGTTTCAAACAGGAATAACATGTGGAAATCCTGGTCGACCTGAAAATGGCCAGGCTACAACTAACGGAATTGATTATGGAAAGATGAGAAGATACACCTGTAACACAGGTTTTAAGATGCAGAACATAGCAAGTGGTGTACTCACAGTGACATGTACAGGAACTGGACAATGGTCTCAACCCAAACCTACCTGTCTACGTAAGTGCTGTTATCAAGAGTACATAACCAAGAGTGTACAAGTCGATGCCCCCCGGCCCACGGCGGAGTTTTTCATGATGGAAGTGTTTCGCAGGCATTAGACTCAATGATGCTATGATACGAAGCTAGATCAAAGGAAAAAGAATTTGTGCATCGCAGCTATGGTAGTCGAAGGAGAAAAAGGAGCGCAGATCCATGTGATCTGAACCCAATGAACTGTAATTTGATCTTTTCTTTGATTGCAGCCCGCCAATGTCCCATTCCAGGAACACCAACATCTGGACAGTATTATGTAGAACGGCTAGGACAGAGTCTCTGGAAAGGTCCTTTCCAATATGCTGACATTGTTAGATGGGTGTGTGATACAGGATTCACAGGGAATACCAATGCTGTATGTCGAGCAGATAGTACATGGAGCAAGAACACACCAACCTGCACACGTACGTATACAAATACTTTTCTTGCTTACTTGAAGTAGGTGTGCAATATGAAACTCAGATGTTTAGTCAATAATAATTGTGAAAGGAAAGGAACATATGGATACGAGTTAAGTAACTGTCCACCACTGTAACTACAATCGTGGCCAAGGAAATCTGACCCTGAAGTGACTACTCAATGAAAGGATATAATAAAAGAACGGCAAAAAAGATCTCCTAGGCAGACTGAAAATAGGAGAACGCTAGCTTGCCAAGCACATAAAGGACCATCAATGACGCCAACTTTCACCTCTGCATTCTTGATTCAGTGCGGGACGATTTTCTCTGTATGGTCACTTGGATGTAGCACAACATATGCATTGATCATATTTTTGGCTAGCACGAACAGAGAGACTTACCATGCCAGGCATGAAACTTTGAGTCACGACAATTCCAAACTGGACCTATTTCTCTTTTCCGTGTGAAACGCTCTGGACTTTGCCGGCAATTGCCAAAATTACTCCTTTGTATCTATCTAATATCCATCTAAATTGTCATGGTCGAAGTACAGTGCTGTTTTACAGAGGCATTCAGTTTTGCATGATTCGTGTTTGCCTAGCTTCCCCTTTTATTAATCTTCGCATCTTTGAGCCACACAACTTTTGTGGAATCTTGCTTTGCGTCCTTGAATCGTGGTTTGACCGTATTGTCCAGTGGTCTTGCCAGTACCGTCTTCGACATGCATGTACATCCGCCAACATCCTTCACAGCTGAGACTTTCAGCTCGTGCTTGTCTTGGTTGCGCTCACCTTGCCCTCCTCGTGTTATTTCTATAACTTAGAACCTTCCAAGTTGGAAGGCTGTTGGAGTGCGCATCCTAGATGTGCTAGAGCTGTTAGTCAGTTAGTTGTAGAACGTCAGTACCGTCGGTCAGTGTGGTGCAATGTTATCGCTTGAGCTGATTGTTTTGTAACTGGTGGTGTTAGTGGACATTATAGCGTAACTTGTAGTTTCTTGGTCCTTTTTTCTTTACTATAAATTTACCCTTGGCTTTCCATCCGAGTCCATTCTTGCATCAATCTATCCATCCATTCATCCATCCATTCATCCATCCATCCATCCATCTATCCATCTATCTATCTTTTCTTTCTTTCTCGATCTCTCTTTTTTGATTTTACGATAATTATTGGTGTACAGGTATAAGTTGTCAAGACCAAGGGCAGCTTGTCAATGGAGATAGCACATCGACAGGCCAACAATTTGGTAGTACAGTAACATACCGATGTCATACAGGCTTCTACATGCTGGGTTCTAGAAGTGGTGTTGCTACTGCACAATGCATGGCCAACAAAAGGTGGTCTCATAATAAACCCACTTGTTTATGTAAGTACAAAAATCATTTTGTATTAGGTACAGTTTGATGGATTTTTTATCCCAAGACCTTCCAGATATGTGGCACAGTCCAAATACGGACTTGTATATTATGTGTTAAGCAGAGGTGCTACTCATTAGCAGAGGCATACCCTATGATCAGTACTAATCAACTTGCAACCATGCTTTTTTAATTCATCACAATCCATAATCTAAGACTTAGGCATTAGTTTCCGGGTATCGAATCGCATTTTTCCACCATAACTGTGTTATTCCTCATTCCAAAAAGTCACCTGTACAGACAAACTCATCACTTCCCCCAGAACGGTGCAGCAACCTGGATGCAGTTTTTAATGCACCTCGTGTTTTTCTGTGCTTCTCTATGGAACAGCCCGGACATGTCCTGATCCAGTCAGTCCTACATTTGGCGGCTTCTCTGTTCAAAAGGGAATACGGCGTGCCAGTCTGACACCCTACCTGTACAACGACACTGTCACATGGACATGTGATATCGGCTATTCTACTACTCAACCTACTACTGCTGTGTGTCAGGCTAATCAAACATGGAGTAACAACCGCCCAGGCTGCCAAAGTATGTGTTTTTTTGTTTTTGTGTTTTTACCAGAAAGCCACAAATCATCATTGTGCAAACACCGGAAAAAAAGCACAGAGATGCACATAGCGATGGCAGCCGAAGCAGTGGAGGCGGAGCAAGAGCAGATAAACCGACCAAGGGTCTCAGCATCCACACTGCTCATGCGCGCCAAACTTATCAATACTAAATGAAAACAAAATGAATAGGAGCACTACAGAGCAAATGAGAAAATATGGGTGACGGCACAGTCACACAGCGTGCAAAATGGGAAGGAAAGTTTAGGAGCAGACACACATACATTGGCAAGTACACAGCAGCAGGAATCCGGCATACACACATGTGAGCACATGCATGCGCACACACTCTCTCTCTCTCACACACACACACACACACACACGTGCATACATACACAAGAGTCCTTAGGGATGTGAGGGTGGAGTAATGTACCCTGCTTAAGGTGGCAGACTACCAAAAAATTCGCTGAAATATCGAATCTGTAAATTCATATCGAGTGCCACGTCAGTTGAAAGAGCATGAATACCTGCAAATTCTCTGAAAATTGTGTCCCGCTCTGACCAGCCGTTCAAGAGTTATGGCCGAAAATGTGCCCTTGCAAGGAAAGATTTTTTTGTTGCACGCTGTCATTTGTTGGCAGCACTGTATTTGAATGTGAGCAGACCGTGCGCAACTTGTCGTATCATGGAAACACGCGAAAGTGTGCAGAATTTTGCTCCAAGTCCAAAAAATCACGTTAAAAAACCACGTATTGGGCTGCACGACTTTTGCCAGCACCCTCGTGACGTTGCAGATATGTGGCTTGATTATTGTAGTTAACGTTGATTTAGTGACTTTGGCAAGTTTGAGTCGTGTCAAGAAGTCAGGTAGGATTCAGTACTAGGCAGTAGTGGAACGTGAGTGGTAGTCTTTGCCGGTTTCTGAGGGTATCCTGGATTAGGTGTGCAGCGCTGTGGAAATGGCTTGCTGTGGAGGTCCCAGCGCTGGATGTTGTATCAAAGGTACGACCTCGTAGCACGTGCTAAACCTAAAAAAATTCAAGAATTGACTTGGGTCTGTGGGAGTCTGTGAGAGAACGCCCACTCGTTCCGTTGTGACAGATTGCAGGGCCACGTTGAGGGGCCCTACCCCACCACCCATGGCTGCTTCTGGACTTGTTTTAGGTTTGGGTCCCGCGCACAGACAGAATGGGCACGAAAATGTGAAAAAATTGTAAATGCATTTGTTTGGCTCCTGGGTGGCTCGCACACCGTGGCACTATGCCGGAAATTTGAGTTTTTCCGGCCTGGAAAGCTTGTCAGTGAGGCGCAAGAACTTGTAAATCATGTCCTGAGGGCCAGCATAGTGGCAGGAGTGTGTGGTCAAAATTTCACTCAAATCCATTGAGAAACACCAAAGTCACGGTCAATTGAATGCCATATGAAATTTATGGGTAGGCTGCCCCCTTAATAAAACCCGGCTAGCCATGACTAGGTGATCCGGAACTGTTGCACAAAGACACATACACACACACACACACACACACACATGCACCTGCACACACATTTGTGCACACACATGCATACAAGCGTGCACAAACACACACACACACACTCACATACACGCACACACACATACACACACACACACTCACATACACACACACACACACATACACACACACACACACACACACATGCACACACTTACTTTAACACACAATAAACATCGCACACACACATAAACACCCACCCACTCATGCTCACATATGTTATAGATTATAGTCCTGTTTTGTTCATCACAATTTTTTAACCCTTTAAGAGCCGCCCCATACTTGAATGCGTCGTAAACGACGCATTCAAATGCAAAACTTCAAAAGATCGTAACTCAGTCCAATCTCGCTTAAATCCAGTGATCGAAATATCCAGGGCGAAGAGAAAACTCTCACCTGTCGGAAGAAACAATCCGCGAAGCGCTGCGAGCAACGGTTCATGAGATAAATCACTAGTAAGTTGAGCCGCGATCGCGGCAATTTCAAAAGCGCGCAGTGCGACTTTAGTATTGAGAATTTTGAGACTTTTCGTCACGCTGGTTTACTCAAATTTGCACGGGTTTCACTGTTGATATTGTCAAGAGTACACAGCGAAAAAATTGGAACTCCACAATCGAGTAAAATGAAATATCTGGAGCGGGACGCAATTGGACGCATTTGGGGCATTTTTCGTACTGTCGCTGCGATCTAGCGCTGGATAGACGGTGTGCTGGCTATCATGATCAACCTCATTTTCTTCCTCTTGCAAAGACCTTTCCAGGAAGCCCTAGATTGTGAGGATTGAGTGAGTAGAACTGAAGCTATGATCCAAGGAACACGAAAAATTGCAGAATTTTGAAATTTTCCTGTGGCTCTTAAAGGGTTAACACTGCTGTGGGGTTATTCTACAACATGTGTTTCAAACAGGGATAACATGTGGAGATCCTGGTCAACTTGCCAATGGCCAGGTTACATCTAACGGATTTGATTATGGAAAGATTACAAGATACACGTGCAACACAGGTTTTAAGATGCAGAACATACCAAGTGGCGTACTCAAAGTGACATGTACAGGAACTGGACAATGGTCTCAAGGCAAGCCTACCTGTCTACGTAAGTGCTGTTATCAAGAGTACATAACCAAGAGTGTACAAGTAGATGCCCCCCGGCCCACGGCGGAGTTTTTCATGATGGAAGTGTTTCGCGGGCATTAGACTCAATGATGCTATGATACGAAGCTAGATCAAAGGAAAAAGAATTTGTACATCGCAGCTATGGTAGTCAAAGGAGAAAAAAGGAGAGTAGATCCATGTGACCTGAACCCAATGAACTGTAATTTGATCTTTTCTTTGATTGCAGCCCGCCAATGTCCCATTCCAGGAACACCAACATCTGGACAGTATTATGTAGAACGGCTAGGACAGAGTCTCTGGAAAGGTCCTTTCCAATATGATGACATTGTTAGATGGGTGTGTGATACAGGATTCACAGGGAATACCAATGCGGCATGTCGAGCAGATAGTACATGGAGCAAGAACACACCAACCTGCACACGTACGTATACAAATACTTTTCTTGCTTACTTGAAGTAGGTGTGCAATATGAAACTCAGATGTTTAGTCAATAATGAATTGTGAAAGGAAAGGAACATATGGATACGAGTTAAGTAACTGTCCACCCCTGTAACTAAAAGCGTGGCCAAGGAAATCTGACCCGCGAGTCAAAAGTAGCGCCGCGTTTCCACTTCAATGACATCATGCATGTTCCCTAAACTGATCCGAGGGCCGCAGCGGCCACATGAGCCTTGGCGCTGCTTTCGGCATGTGGGTTGTATGTCTTTGGCCATGACTGTAGATATTATATACAGTCAGAAAGAACAACAACTACTAGTAGGCACAAAACTGACAGAGTACTGTGACATTTGACGACCTGACACCTAGCTCCGACACATGTCCGAAGCGCAAGCCAACAGCCTTGAAGGAAAGCGCAACGAAAATGACTACAAGCTAAAAGTCCCAAGCTAACAAAGAATAGGACGAGCTGAAGCGACATGTGGACTACTTTATTAACAATGTAAGCGATGGAGACGATGCAAGAAACAACCTAAAGGGTAAGGAAAAATACATGTAAGAAGAAAAAGGGCAATGGAAAAAAAGAGATGATTCGAACAAGTTTTCGTACAACACTCTTCAGGAATCACCGTTGTACTAAAGAACAAAATGAGAACAAAGGAAATAATATAGCAATCAAGGTAGGGTGACACGATACAATGACAGCACTAGAATATCGAGGTGCGATTTCTCACAAAAGTGTGCAGAAAACAAGGGTATACAAGTAAGAACTAAGCGTGACAAGTGTGTATCAGCAACAAAAAACAAAAACAAAAAAAAAGTGAGAACGAATGATAATAATAACAATCATAAACAAGAAGGTGACAAAACACATTTAGGCACAAGTGGCAACAACGTTGCCACACTACACAACAGAACATTATTTGAACAATTTTAGGGTAATAACACTATCTTTCTGGACACACAAATTCGGCTTATGAATGCGCTGACAAACAGCTTCCAAAACTTGTAACTGCAAAAGATAACCATGACGAGCACGGCACAAAACAGAAAAACAGGAATCAGAATAAGTATGACAACAGTCAGTACTAGAAACCAAATGATTGTATACTGAAGACTTGTTATTACGAGACGGACGCACACAATCTCGACTCACGCGCACACCCTCACACTCCCTCTCACCCTCACTCAGCTCACCTTCTCCCTCACTGTCCGAATCAGAACCTGCTCCGTCATCCACCGCGGTTTGACTCTCCTCCTCACTTGCATCGTCCTGCGTCTCACCTTCACCACCTACGCCAACCCTGAATGCCGTTGCCTTCACGTCAGTCGTCGTCCTTTCCGATTGTTTCCTTTGTATTTTTACCGTGAATTCATAGGTCCGGTTGTAATCTGCTGTAGATCTCCGTGGTCTGTCATTTGCTGCTTTGTTTTGTGGATTAGTTGTTGTTGTTGTTGTTGTTGGATGTGAACCTGGTGTTGTTGTTGGATGTGAAGCTGGTGTTGTTGTTGCCGCCATGGTTGTTGGTCTTTCTGTTGAATCCAGCTCTGGTTCCGGTGGGACAAATCGACCGCCGCGGGTGCTCCCCACCAACACAGACCTCGAAGGAGGAGGGTCAGGGGGAGGCAGAGGTGCTGTCACCACTCGAGGCACAGCCCCATGCAAAGCACCCAGAGGCACAGACTTAGGCACACCCGAGGGCTGCACCAGTGGCGGTTCCGCACGCACCTCCAAAGAGCTGCCAAGCTCCAGCCCGTCCAACACAGATGTCAGAGGGGGAGCGGCAGACAGCGGCAGGGAACTATCCTGCCGTCTAGGTGATGGGTTTTTCCTAGGCCTCCCGCGTTTGGGCCTCTCAGATTGCGCACTGGGTGGAAGGATGTGAAGTGGAGTGTGTTGTTTGATACGTGCGTTCAGGTGCTGAACAGTCCTACCAACATACCGACTAGCACAATGTCGGCATTCGAAGTTGTAGATAACATGACTGAGGTGGAGGGTTGGTAGGACGTCCTTCCGCACCGTGAACGCACGCATTGTTGTGAAGACTGGCACAAAATGTACTGCATAATAAGTACGACGGACGATAGACTTGACTGCGTGACACACTTTGATCGATTCCTGCCCCTTCCATGGCAAACATAGATAGACGGGACAGCGAGGTGGACCAATCAGCACCGATTTCGGTTTCTGCTCCATGGACAGAAACTTACGCAACAAGAATTCCGGGTAGCCATTCTTCAAGAAAACAGATCGAAGGAAATCGAGCTCGGCCTGCAGCTTACTGGGCGAACAAATACGTTTCGCACGGTCCACGAGGTTACGAACTAAGTTGACCTTGTATTGAAACGAACAATATGAATCGAAGGCAATGTACTGACCGGTGAACGTAGGCTTACGATACACAGAAGTCAACATTTCACAGCCAGTCTTCTCTACAAGCACGTCTAGAAATGACAACTTACTAGACTGCTCGTGCTCACAAGTAAAGCGGAGGGAAGGATGTAGGTTGTTGAGCACATCGAGAAACAATTCACTGCTCTCAACACTGTCAAAATGCGTGAACGAATCGTCAACAAAACGCACGTAGAACGCGGGCCAAAGCGACTCATCAATCTTGCACTCACAATAACCAACGAATATATTGGCGAGGACGGGACCAAGAGGAGATCCCATCGCCACACCATCTACTTGCTTGTACATCACATCGTTGAACGAAAATTCGACACCAGTTGTAACTGACAGCATCAAATGACGAAACGCCGCTTCCGATACCCATGGAGTATCAACATCATCGTTACGGTACAATACATCCATACAGATGTCAACAGTCTCATCAATAGGAACATTCGTAAAGAGACTTACAACATCGAAGGAACACATGTGTGCATTGAGAGGGACCGGACTATCACGAAGCCTCGCAACAAAGTCGAAGCTATCCTTCACAGTGCGTTTGCAATAGTAATCTTGAACAGGCTGTAGGTAGATGCACAGCCATTTCGAGATAGAGTATTGAGGGGAGGCGGTCATGGATACTATTGGTCTAACAGGGCATGTAGGTTTATGAATTTTAGGAAGGCCATAGAGTCTAGGACGAAGGGTACCAGTCGGTTTGATGCATCGAATTCATGTTTTGATATTTGTTCTTCATTCTTTAGCTTATTAAGGTAAGTTACAAGATCCTTTTCTACTTTTTCAGTTCGATCACAGGTCTTGACCGGACCAAGTGTACGGAACTTTGATGTGTCATTTAGGATAACGGACATCTTCTCGATGTAGTCAGTTTTATTCATTAAAACAGTTGCACGACCCTTATCAGGGCGCGTGACAATAATGTCTTTGTTATTACGTAGCTCATGCAGGGCTTTGAGATGTTCGCGTTTCAATGAAAACGTTCTTCTATCCGGTAATGCATCAGCGTGTTCCTCGGCCTCTGCCCGGATCTTTGCGGCGCAAATGGACTGTTGTGACTCGGACACCGGTCTGAAACGTAATAACTTGCGGTAAAAGAGCTCAAACTCGGTCATGATTACTTCCTTCTTGTTTGATTTTGGTGGAATCCCGAAATCGGTTCCACGACAGAGGAGCTCTTTCTGAAGAGTGGTCAACTCTAGTGATGTCATGTTAATTATGGTGGTATCAGGATCGATGGTGACATGTCCATATCGTTTCTGTCTTAGCCAATTGTAGGTCTTGTCATGTTTTGTGATTAGATGGATACGTTGTTTCTGGTCATTTTCCGAAAGGAGCATAGAGAATCTCAAGAAGTCGTGAGAGGAGAGAAGGCAGCGTGCACGATCATACAAATACCTAAACCGCGAACGTGACTTTGACAAAGTGTCGCAGGACCGGGCAATCTCGTCTTTCATGAATACGCGTTCGATGTTTAACGTGTGGTAAGCTTTGGTCCTGCGGACACGGTTCTCTACACCACCTGGACAAACACCATTGTCCAGACAACGTCTAAGGAACACTACGTTAAATGCAACACTACGATAATGAAATCGTGACTTCAGCGCATGGTTCAGAATATCTATCTGAGTCTGGCTATATCTCGACCTGAAGTATTTAAAAATTCGACGAGGAGACAATAATTTTAATATGACAATAAGTAGGACGAGCTGAAGCGACATGTGGACTACTTTATTAACAATGTAAGCGATGGAGACGATGCAAGAAACAACCTAAAGGGTAAGGAAAAATACATGTAAGAAGAAAAAGGGCAATGGAAAAAAAGAGATGATTCGAACAAGTTTTCGTACAACACTCTTCAGGAATCACCGTTGTACTAAAGAACAAAATGAGAACAAAGGAAACGAGAGAGCTTGCAAGCTCAGGGCCCTACGCTATGCTTTGTTGCCCAGCTCATCGTGCATGTTGTTAGAACTGATGGATATGTTTTTTCCTTTGATTAGCTACATCATTGTATTGCAAAAACGTTTCAATGAGTTACTGAAGTAACGTCTTCTGCATAGCTACGGGACCGGCGTTGACTCTGCCGATCACGGGCGTTCTGGAGTTGACAGGATGTCTGTCCTGACGTT